GCAAAAATTGTAAATCTAAGTCTAGGATGATCTATATAAAATTTACAATGAGGTTGCTCCTTTTATAGCAAAGTTCAAACAAGCTGGCCAAAGAAATCTAGAAGAGATATTAACCAAAACCCTAAAATTAACGCCTAAAACTGTAGTCGAGCAAAAATTAGGAGACGATACTTAGCGATAGAACTGAAAAATTTACTACCAACCCTAAAGAACAGCGGAGGCAGTGTCATGGTTTAGGGAGTTATGCAACATCCAAATATCAATACAAATACATTTTAGAACAACATTTAAAGCCATCAATGGAAAACTGGGATGTTGGGGATTACTGGATTTACAAAAATACAGTATTATGCACCCAGGCAGCTAAATACACCTCTTCAGAGCTAGGATTTAAATGCGATTAAACATGTTTATAACACATTGAAATCTGCATTAGTGAAATCATAGGAGGAAATAACAGCAAAAAGGAGAAGGAATAAAGAATGTCAAGGAGGGTCAACGAAATACAAAAAGTTTTAAAAACTGTCGTTTCGTGAACTTAATATGAATAATTTATTTTTAGTACGTAAACTTTTGTCCTTCACTGTAACTTATTTATAAAAAGATTTATCTAATCAAAATGAAAAATATCACGTTAAATTTATTAAATAATATTATTGATTGCTCAAAGTTTTCACAATAATTAGATAAAAACGGACTAATTTAAAAAAACTTAACCTAATTTTTTTAAAGAAGTGTTAAATTGAAGTAAATTTTACGAAAATTTAATTGAGTCATTCAAATACAATCTATTTTAAGAAAATTTAATACCATTTTTAAGAATTGTTATCATCATTACCTTCTTTATCATTTATTTAATTTGTTTGTAAAAATTAAAGATTAAATAAAAATGTTGTTTTCATCGAAACGGTTAAAAATTAAGAAATGATAAAAGTTGATCATTTTTTTGAAAATACATATTGATATGAACTGGAACGAATGCGTAAAATATCGATTCGGAATGACTCAGAGGGTTTTCTGATAAATAATCTGAGATCAAAAAAAGAAAAATGTTAAAATGAAACAAGTAAATAAATGAGGATATCTTAAAAACAATGACAAATTTATATTTAGTGTATTTGAACAATATGACTAATTTCTGTTGTTAACTCGGCTAATTAGAGATGTTTGGATTTCTTGGAAGTAGAAATTTCTGAATAATTTTATTCGTAGAAATGAAATTTGCGTTATTCATGATGATTATTTAATCTTAATAGAATAATAATTACTCTTAATAAGAATTAGTTTAATCATATGCTATTAGTATTATACACGCAACCAAACATACAAATTAAATGGTTCTTTTCTTCATATCCTCTAGAGTAGATTCGAATCATTTTTAAGTTCCTAGCTACATGTCACCCATAATTAGTTTTTACCGTCTCTCATTCAGACAGTTCATGCCGTGAACGACAATTTCTGCTTGTTGTAACAACTTGAATTTCTTCTGCTGGAGAAAAGCGAGCTTTGCAGAAACCTTTTGCGAAATTGCAAGATGTGTGTATCCGTATCTTTGACTTATTTATACATCAACCACGGTTTTTTCATAGCAGTATTCAGAAACAGGTACCTGGTACTCTGGTGAGCTATATTGATAATTGGAAATAGATGCAGTGGTTGAAATGATCATAAGCACTGCTAAAAGGCAAGAAGAGAGACTTTATCATCATATCAATATGGAGGCTATTAAACTCCTGGACAATTCACAGCTAGAAGACTCAAAGCACTTATACCTTTGTAGCAAGGTCCGTTGAGTATCGGTTATAAGGTTATCCAACTTGAACAAATTGACATAAAAGTATAATAATAAGTATAAAAAGTATGATATCATATACAGGTGCCCATTATGTATGGAATATAGTATTATATATATCTTGGTAAGTATCAACTTTATAAAAAAACAATTTATATAAAAGTTGTTTAATATTTTGTTTGCCATAATAAGGCATTCAATTGGTTTTATTTCAGAAAACAAATGAGCAACGAATAACACTTGAAGTTTTTTAGATGGCAATATGTCCTTTCGTTAGGCTCATTTGATAGAGATTTAAAATTTAAAAATTAAAATTATTGTTTATTAAGAAAATTTAACTAATAACATGAATCTAGATATCCGAGATCGTCAAGTACCTTGAAGTACCTCGAATTCCGAACACTAGATATAGAACTAGAAACGAGTCTAGTTCTAGGTCTAATGTTAGTTCTATTTCAGTAAAAATAGACAACAATTTAACGCTTAGTAACAATTAAAACTAGAACCGCTGGCTGAAGACGCATTATTATTATTATTATATCTAGCAACATCATGTTTGAACTCATTTTAATGTTTTTTTTAATAAAGAATACATTATAAAAGAACACCATGAAGTTGTCCATTTGTCCATTATATGATAACTAACTTCAGATTTAAAATATCAACCTCAATTTTGACATATTTGTAATCTTCATCAAAAATCCTTTGAAATGAGTACAAACACGACATATTTATCTTCAATATTAATGAAGTTATGATCAACTTCCGGTTAGAAATGTCAACGTCAATTTTGACATATTTGTAATCGTTGTGAAAAATCCTTTAAAATGAGCCCAAACATGATACGTTTAATTCCAATATTACTCGAGATATAACCAACTTCCGATTTGAAATGTCAATGTCATTTTGACATATTCTTAATTTTTATAAAATGTCTTTATATTTGTCACAAAAACAAAAATATAATAAAAAAAAAATTAAAAATTAAGGTTGGTATTAATATTTAAAAATTAAATTGCTATCTTCATTGTTATTAACTTCGGGTTTAACGTTTTTTATTCTAACTTTTTTGTTTTTTGAGATAAGTGCATCATCTTTGGACTCATTTTAAACGTTTTTTAATGAAGATGACAAATATGTCAAAATTGACGTTGACGTTTCAAACCGGAAGTGATTGTATTTCCATTAATATTAAAGTTAAATATGTCGAGTTTGGACTCATTTTAAAGGATTTTTTATGAAGTTGGCAAATATGTTAAAATTAAAAGTTGAAAGTTCGAACTTTTTGGAATAATAATAAAATTAAAGTTGACATTGAGAACTGTAAGTTTTTTTCACGACTAAACCCGACTGTTTCTAATTCTAGGTCTTGTGTTAGTTCTAGTGATAGTGTAAAACTAGAACTAACACTAGACCTAGAACTAGAAATATTCGGGTTTAGCCATGTGTCTTCAGACTTTTTAAGACGTCCGGCTAAACCTAAAACTTTCTAGTCCTAGGTCTAGTGTTAGTTTTAATTGTTATTTAACCATAAATTCTTGTACATTTTAATTGATCTCAAAATTTTTTTTTGATTTAATCCACTTACCTTGCTTGTAATTTCATCCATTTACCCATTTTGAATTAGATACAACTTTTAAATCCAATTAATTATGTGTTTTTCATTAAAAAAACTTAAATTCAACGTCAATTTTGACAAGCAACTGCAATATTTGGATCTTAATTACCATGGTAACCGAGTCAAGTTGGATAACCTTAAAATAATAAAATTTTATTCCGATTTTTTTTATCAATTCTAACCTAATTAAAAATATCTTTTTTTTTAATTTAATCCACTTACCTTATTTATAATACCCTAGATAAACCAATTTTGAGTTAAATACAGCCTTTTAACCAATTAAATGAGACTTTTTCCTTAAAAAAAATTAAATTCAATTTCAATTTTGACAAGCACCTGCAATATTTGGATCTTAATCACCATGGTAACCGAGTCAAGTTGGATAACCTAACAATAATAAAATTTTATTATAACCGTTAATGTTTCGCTTTATATTTTAATATCTTTTTAATTTTTTTATCTTTTTTTTTATATTTTCGTATATTGCTTCTTAAGTGAAATACACTGTGTAAATAAAAACATAGAAATGTCAATTCTTCCAATGACGTCACAGAAGGGCCTTTGCGGGGGGATACGTTCATAGGGACTTGGATAACCTTATACAATATGTTGACTAGTCACTTCAATTAATGATGACAATACATTAAGGACATTGCTAAGTATATCTTAATTTAAGATTATCTTGTAATAGCAATTTAAGTTGGAAAAGAAGTGCTAATAAAAAAAGAATACATCACATATCTTCAGAGTCAGATAAATTATTCAAGATATTTACAAGTTCGTGGTTCGATTTTTGTCCCAATTTCGATTTCGTGATGTTTTTGTATTTCACAGCGCCGACGTGGTCATTATGGCAAAGACGAATTTCCATGAATGTGGGCGAAAATAACCCGAACTTAAACTACATTAAAAACGTTCTAGCAGTGAACGTGTTAAAATAAATTTAAAAAAAATTTGGTATTTGTTAGTTTTTATTTGACTTACGTCGAAAAATTAATTATTTTTAACATATTTATGTATATTATTGTTCATATTTACAGGTCAACTACTAAACTAACAGTTGGTATACTTAAATAACACGTCGAAATTAAATTGTGAATATAAAATTTGTATCATTAGAAGCCCAAAACGAGAACTAAAAGACAATTAAATTAATAAGAAATCGAATAACTGATAAAAACTAAAAAACTTTGAATAATTTTTTTTTATTACCTAGAAAACAGATTGAAAATTTTATATTTTGATTTTATTCCCAAAAACTTTAGTCGTTGATAAAAAATTGTTAAATTCTAAAAATATTTTTTTTTTGTTTTCGATTGTTTTCATTGCGAAATTTAGATTCTTTATAAACAGATCGAATTTTTAACAAAATCAAAATAACAAATTAATAATCTGTGAAGAACACACAACACTTCCTCTAAATTCATTTTTTATATCGAGCAATATACTTCATCCACACGACCATATCATTAACAAAATCACCCCCAAAAAAAAATTGAGAAATAATCAAAGAAAAAAGTTATTAAAAAATTAATAAATCATTAATAAAATACAACTTGATATGAAGATCAAAAACGAAGAAACAAAATATAAGTTCACTTCTTGTACTACAGAGTTTATTTGTTAATTAATAATAAAACTTTTAAAATTCACTTAATTTTAAAAAATAATTTACACAGCTTCACCGTTTTTTTTTTATTTTTTTAATCCTTATTATTAATTTCTTTTCTTCGTTATTCTTTTATTTTCGATTCTTTTTTGTCTCTTAATCTTCATTTTTATTTCTTTTTTGGTTTTTTCTTTTCAAAAAATCATTTTTGGGGCCCAATCTTTACCAACAACACGTTGCTTTACTTCGGATGGCAGTCAGTGTGTTAGTACTGGTGGTATCAAGAGGGGTCAGTGTTCCAAGAGATCCGATATGGACGCAAAAGCGCATGAACTAATTCCCGTATTTGACATCAAACGAACTAATTCCTGAGCATGAGCCATTGCCACTTCTAACGGTGGTCTTCTTGGCCTATTACTCGATTCTAAAAATAAATTCATATACATAAAAAATCGTTTGATTTGATTCGGATTAATTTTTACCTAAAATAGCTGAATTTAAGGAAGCACATATAGATTCTCTTTGAACTGGATCCAATTGCCAACCAACAGGACTTGCCCATGGATTTGAATAAGCTAGTAAACTAAATGCATCCTATAAAAAGAATTTTTTTTGATTAGTTTAAAACAATTTTTTTTTGGGTTGAGGTTTACTTACAACTAACATTTTTTGATTTTTTTCCTGATTTTCAGTTCCTAATTTTTGACTCATACTATTTAATTCTCTTCCAAATTCTAAAATTCTTTCTACTGCTGGTTTACAACATTTTCTAATTACAGGTCCATCAATATCTGTAAATTAAATTTATCATAATTATATTTGTTGCGCATATTCAAAGTAATTTTACCCATGTCTTCATCTTCATCATCAAAACATGAATTATTTTCTGAAAACATAATGTTATTCGTACAATTATTCCCGTTTTGATATCCATTTGTTGAAGAAGAGTTGGTCGTGATATTTTTTCCATTACACGAATCCGAATGTCCGTTTTGGACCTCCTCTGTATCCATTTCGATGTCGCTGTCTTCCGGTTTTATCACAGCCTCGTCCCCACCACCGCAACTGTTGCCATTTAAAGCAACGACGTTATTTTGATTGTTAAGTTCTTCGACGGTGGCTGGAGGTGGTTTTGCTTTATTGCTACCGTAACTTTTAGTCGATTGTATAACGGACGTTTGTATTGGACTTCCGGGTCGTGGTGACAAACTGTAGGGCGAGGTTGAATTATACATTGGATTCTTTCGGGGACAAACTTCCACATCAGAACCGTTCACCATTTCGACAAATTGACGGCACTTGAGCATAAATAGAAGATTTTGGTTGCGTTCCAATAATCCTGGATATAAACGGGTTGTTTTATCGATTGCTTCGCCCATTCTACCCGCTAAAACAAGTTTTAAAATTCCTAAAAATTAAAAGGTTTTTAGTGGAATAAATGAGGTTTCTTTTTTTTTGAAAATCTTACTTTGTCTATTCTTTATTGATCCTATGTCTTCTGAAAAAGTTTGTCCTGTTATATGAGCGAATGCTTCCGCTGTATTTGAGTATCCGTGATGTACTAAGTATGTTGAGACCATTCTAAATTAAAAGAAAATTAAGGAATATTACTAAATTAAGAAGAAATATAATATACAGGTGTCCCGAAACTCAAGGTCAAGCGGGTGAGAGGCCAACCCATACTTGTTCTGGTAAAAATAAGAAAAAAATTCGATGTGTCTTAGTTAAGTGGTAATAAACATATTTTTGAAATGTTAAAAATCGGTCCCGTACATCATATCTTTAGGTACTACGTGCCTCATGAACCATGCTACTATAGCAGTCACATCAAACAACAAAAGTCGTTAGTTTTACAAAAAAAAAGTATTAATTTGATTGAGTTAAAGGTTGAAAGAATGTATATCTATTAAGTTTGACACACGATTTCTAAACAAAGGAGTAGTACAACACCTGTGGCAAGTTATTTTAAAAGATGGCCTGTTTAGTCAAGATTCCAAAATGCTATAATACTTGCCATTTTTCTTATCCTAAAAAATATTATTGCGTGTTTTTCTGCATGCTTATTTAAAAAATTCATACTTTCGTATGTTATTTGTGTTTCCTCCAAAATAATTTAACAGCTTTGTTGGAAGATGTGCCGCTCAATATAATAATAATAATAGTTTATTCTTCAACAATACATATATGCAAAAACTGTATTAATGCTAATTAAACTTAAAAAAAAAACAAAAGAAAAATAATAATAATAACTGTTGAAGAATCATAAGGTCGCGGATTCAGTGCCATGGCCAAAAGACCATTACTGTTCTTTCACCGCAGCCTTAAACTTAAAAAAAGCTATCAAAACAAGCCAGTAAATGCCTAAAAAGACTTAAAGGTAAAATTCCGTATTATCCCTAAATTACCGATCTTAAAGAATTAAAATTTAAACCAATGCTATCAAACAACATAACATAAAATTTAATAACCTTCCGAGATGTTCCCCAATGTTAAAATCACTGCATGTTAAAAAGGCAATTAAACAACAAACACTTAAACACACGGCCATGCCCAACCTTTATACAGGGTGTCTCAGGTAACTGGTTCGTTAGAACTTTTTATGGTTCCACTATTCGTAGTGGTTTGAAATTTTGGTAGCATGGGTTGTTCATTCTAAACTTTCGATCTAAAATATTTTCAAGATGGCCACCCCTTCCGGTCTACCGGAAGTAGACCACAACTTCGTTATTTTAAATGGAATGCTATAGTTTTTATTACACCTTTCAATTATACGTAAAAAAATATGTTGACTTTGATAAAAGTTGTTGGTACCTAGCGTTTTTAAGCGATTTTAAGTGTTTTTTGACAAATTTCACCAAGGTCTTTAAAAGCCCATATCTCAGCTAACGATCATTCAAAAAAGCTCTGCATTGGCACGACTACTCTACAGATGCTGCCAAATAGATTGTCATTTGTTGTATCAGAGAATCTTATATAGGCTGGTCAAAAATTGAATTATCGTTTCTCAATATTCAATTGCGAGAAAGTCGAAAATTCAGTCCGATCAAAATCAGACATAGAAAACATATAAATTTATTACATTCGCCATGAATATAAAACAAATTTAAAATATCGGCGTTGGATTAATTTGCCATGATATACAATGACTTTCACTCGTGATCAAAAGTAAGTAACAACAACAATAACACAAATATAGACCAAAAACTGTCCAACAAAATTCCATGGCCTTCTAATAAAAAAATCAAATGTTTTCCCGCATTCCGTGCATGCTTTGATTAATTTCCCAATATCAGGGAAACTACAATAAATAGATATAGGAATGTTTATAGATAATTTGTAGAGAATTAAATTCCCTTTCTGATAGGGTAAAAAAATACGGGACATTCCATTTAAAATTTTCGACTTTCTAGCCATTGAATATGGAGAAACGGTAATTCAATTTTTGACCACCTGTATAACTGTATTGATACAAGAAATGACAATCTATTTGACAACATCTGAAGAGTAATCGTGCCAATTTAGTTTTTTTTTTTTTAATGAACGTTAACTGAGATATGGGCTTTTAAAGAGCATGGTGAAATTTGCCAAAAAAAGGTTAAAATCAAAATAACTCGAAAACGAAAAATGCTAGGTACCAACAACTTTTATGAAAGTCAACATATTTTTTTATGTATAATTGAAAGGTGTAATAAAAACTATTGCATTCCATTTAAAATAACGAAGTTGTGGTCTACTTCCGGTAGACCGAAAGTGGTGGCCATCTTGAAAATATTTTAGATTGAATGTTTAGAATGAACAACCCATGCTACCAAAATTTCAAACCTCTACGAATAGTGGAACCTAAAAAAGTTTTAACGAACCAGTTACGTGAGACATCCTGTATAATCTGGGATAGAGTTGTATAGAGAATATACTTAGTTAATATGCTTAGGACATTTCTATTTCTGATATTGACACTATGCAAGTCACCTCTAAAATAAATCTTTCTAGCTAAGTAAGGTGGATTGCGACCAACAATCAGGTTATGATAAAGTGTAAGTACAATAGCATTTTAATACAAGACCTCATATTAAGCCATCCAAGATCCTTTGATTTATAAGTTATATGGTCATATTTTCTTATGCCGAAAATGTACCGCATACAAGCATTTTGCACACGCTGCATGCTAGACACGTCTGCAACGTCGAGATAAGGACCGAAAACTGGAGCACAATAATTAAAAATGAACAGCACAGTGCTTTCACATAAAATTGTCTTAAGCTTGATGCTGAAAACATTCGTAAAAGGATACAAAACCTTCAGGTTTAGAAAACTCAAACCTATAAGTCTAGAAATACGCTACCGATATCGAAATGTATTGTCAATAATAAGACCCAAATTCTTCTCCTGTAGTGATATAGGAATCACATTATTATCAACACTGATTTTAACCAATGATTGCAGTTGTTGAACGTGTCTCTCAATACCAAATCCCGTATTCAAAAACAAACAATGTTCACGAACATAAATTGACAGTCTCTGAAGATCACAATTAATTTTATCTACAGCATTTTCATAATCATTAAACGGAAAACCATAGTACTAGTAATGTCATCCGCATACATGTGGAGATTACAATATTTGATACAATTATGCAATAAGGACGTATAAACGGTAAACAGCAGAGGGCCCAATATTGATCCCTGATATCTACAGAGAAATGTGGTTTCAACAAGATGGTTGTCCAGCTCATTATGCATGTCCTGTACGGGATTGCATACAGAATATCCAGAAAGATGAATTGAGCGTCTTGGTTCGATTACGTGGCCTCCTCATTCTCTGGGCCTAAATCTCCTTGATTTTATTATTAGGATTGCATAAAAGAAACAGTGTATTAAAAACCGATTGAAAATCTCGCCGAACTACGCCACAATATTTATACAACAGCAGAAGAAATAAATGCAAAAAGATTTATAAGTGCCGACGGCAAACAATGAGCATTTGCTTTAGTTTTAAGAAAATAACGCTATAAAATTAATAATAAATAAATTAATAATGCCTTTTGTTTGTTTAATTTTGTCTTTAGGTTAACCTTATTTGAAACAGTCCTTTTGCAAGACATAGGGGACTTGTTGAAACCACATTTTGTAGTTCGTAGATAGTGACTGGCACATCTTCTAACAAAGTTAAGAGGAAATAATAATCCTGTAAATACTTAGATAATAAAGAGTAAATAATGGTATAGGAAAGTATGAATTTTTCAAATAACGTGCTTTTTGCAGAAAAACAGGAAATAATATTCTTTATGAAAAGAAAAATGGCAAGTGCTGTACCATTTTGGAAACTTGACTAAACAGGCCATCTTTTAAAATTACTTGCCAAACTACTTGCACTACTTCTTTTTTAGAAATCGTGTATCAAACTTAATAGGCATAAATTCTTTCAACCTTAACTCAATCAAATTAATTTTTTTTTTGCAAAACTAACGACTTTTGTTGTTTGATTTGTGACTTCTATAGTAGCATGGTTTACAAGAAATACATTATTAAAAAAATAACTATTAAATTGCAAACATTTCTGACTGTAGTACCTAAAGATATGATGTACTTCCGGGGGACCGGAAGTGGCCACCATCTTGAAAATACTTTAGATAGAAAGGTCGGTATGAACCTCTCACATAAACCAAATTTCAGAAATGTAGATGCAATGGAACAGAAATAAAACGGGTGTTGCTGACTTTTTGGCGGACACTGTATACAGTGTGTCCGCAAAGTAACGGATATAGGCGATAAAATCATTATAAACGGTTTATGGAAAAATCCCTGAAACGGGTCTCAAGATTTAAGTTTTTTTCTTTATATCATCGTAACATCATCATTATCGTAACATTTTTTGTTACGATGACGAAGACTTTGTCAAAAACATATTTTTTTTGACGAGGGAACATTCACATTGAGTGGACAAGTAAATAGACAAAATTGGGCTACCCAAAATCCACATTGCGCAAGAAAGTCGCACACCCAATATCCGCAAAAGATCAATATGTGGAGCGACATCGTATGGGATACTGTCCTGAGTTCTTACTTTTTGAGGAAACGTTAACTGGAGGGAGATGTTTAGATTTTTTCAAAACGATATCATAAAGTTATCCCACCTGAATTCCAATGGTAGTTATTCCAACAGGATGGTGCGCGCCACCACATCAGTTTTTGACACTTAGAACATTGTTTAAAATAATGGGTTACCATAGTTACTCATGGCTACTGCTACTGGTATTCTTATAATATCAAGCAAATTTGAAGTAGTTAAACTTTAAAGTAATTTTTCTCGAAAATTTTCTTATGTAACCAATATTAATATTGACTGTACTAGATTCAGAAAAACATCCTCTTTCATATTCCGTAATAAAAATGGGGGATTGCTATTTAAAAAAAAATATCGATGACGTCATAACACGTTTAAAAATGGCGAAAAAAATTTAAAATCTACATCGAAAAAATTAAAACTGTAGACTCGTTTCAGGGATTTTTCCATAAACCGTTTATAATGATTTTATCGCCTATATCCGTTACTTTACGGACAGACTGTATATAAGAAATATAAATGAGAATAAAAATACAAACTAACTTGTTTAAAAGTGCTTGCCATTCGCCTTGTCCTTCGGGTACCGGAAAATCCTGTATAGAAAGTCGTGTACTAGCCCTTAATTCCTTGATCATGTCCTCGATATCGAAAACAAACGGTTCCTGTCCAAAATTGGCATCGACCACTTC